AAATCCTGGGCGTCCCCATCGTGTTGGTCGTAGCGTTGCGGGTAACAACTAAAACAGTGGCATTGGATCTCAATTTCGCCAATATGTAAAATGTAAATGTAGCAGTTCTAAGTGTGTCACAAATCGGACGTCGTTCTTTAACCAATGTAGATGAGGGGCGAGTGGCAACAACCATTCATGTGCTCTTCTGGTGCTGGTCATGAGGATGTGTGCGACAACGACAACAGTGCCACTGGGTTCCGTTTTGCCTTGAAAGCAAACGTAGTGAAACCAGACCGACCGCTGCCTGGCCGGTCGCTCATTAGTTTGCCACGGGGCAACGAAATCAAAGCAATGGCAAACACGGTGCCGACTGACCGGGCGTACACGTATCAAATTTACGTATTGATTTAACGAGGACGACAGAGGAGCACAGGCTCACGTCGTTCGCACGACGACCTGTTGAGCTTGGTAGACCGCAAGACCTGAAGGTGGGAAGGTTTTATTTGCAAGAACAAAAATAATCGAACATGTTTGCACATAGAATGACATACGCACAGGCCGGCACCACCGTCACGCCTCGATTCGATTCGATTCGACTCGACTCGACTCGAAACACCAACGGTCTTCGTCTTCGTCGTCATGCTCAAGCGTTTCGCTGTCGAATCTACAGTATGCTACGATGAACGGCCAGCACGAATGATGGGTGGCATAACGAGATGATCTGTCGTTGACAGTTAATCGTAACGCTCCACGTCATCGTCACCGTTTCTCTCACACATACCTGGTGGCCGGCCGAAGTGGTGCTGTAGGGGAACGTGTTCCAACGACTGTATTGCGCCATTACCACCACGTGTTTTGCAGGTAGTAGTGCGGCGTGATCACCGAATTGACCGGGGCTAATCCGATTGCGTTCTGCGACTGGTGGTTGGCAGCGAACGTATGGCCGGACAGGAAGTTGCCGTTGGCCGTCTGGACGGCAGCCGCCGCCGCCGCGGCGTCAACCGACGTGGGCAACGACGAAAAGTGACCTTGGGTCATGAACTGCATGCCGCTGCCGTTCATCGGATTAGTCGTGGCGTCCATTGCCGCCTTATGAATGGGGCACGGTTTACCGTCGCGGACCAGCAAAGGAATATTGATCCTGCGGGCCATCAACGAGCTATTCATTCCCGAGCCGAAGCCTTTGTCCTGAATTGCTTTTTTCGTTTTATATCTGCAATTAAACGCAACTCACTGTCACTCATGATCGTCATATTAAAGCAAGAATATGGTGTAAATCAGGCTAACGCAAATTAAGCTGTACAGTAAACCGGCCGGGCAGAGTCTCTGACCGTTGCGAAGTCTTGTCCCTTACACTTTCATTATTGTGTGATAACAGATGCGCTTCAAGAAACTTACGGTGACTTATTGTTTCTGTCTTTCGAAAGCAATTTTTACAGTTAAACTACCAGTTTCGAACGTACTCTTCTGTTTCCTCTGCATAAAGTAGTACTACTCCATCTACCTTGAATGAAAAGGTAGCGAGGTTAGATCTAACCGGGAGAGGGACTGGTAGCCTCTAAGTTCTGAGCCTGAAACTCCACTGACTCAGCAACCCTAATCTTAAACCACGAACACGGTCACGAACGACGCGATGCTATGAATATAACTTACCGGTGGTTCTGAAACCAGATCTTCACCTGGGTCGGGGTCAGGCGAATTTGGTTGGCCAGGATTTCTCTTTCCAATGCAGACAGGTAGCGCTGTTGTCTGAAACGTCGCTCAAGCTCGAAGGTCTGCGACTTGGTGAACAGAATCCTTCGTTTCCGCTTCTTCGACCGTTCCTGTTTCCGGTTGTCATCCTCCATGTCTTCGTCTTGGCACTTGTTCTGGCCATCACCACCATCGCCACCGTTCAGGTCAGAGCAATGACGTCGATGGCGGTCAGTGTCCTCGTCACTGTCCACTTCCGGCTGGTCTCCATTGCCGTTGTTGCCAATCGTCGCCGTCTTAGCACCAAGTAAGGAAGGACGGTCGCTACTGGCCGATACATTCGCAAATTGTTTTTTGGTCAGTGTGTTGGACAGTTCCACCACTTCCTTTAAATTCTTGTTCACCGCGAGGCGACAAACTGACGGGTCTTCGGATTCGTGATCTTCGATGACGTGGCATGAACGAAGGCTTTCTGTCTGGTCATTCAAGGACTGCAGTTGCAGAGGCAAGGGTGCTGCCGGCACTTGTTTATAAGACGAATACGAATCCGGTATGTTGTGGTCGCAGACGATGAAATGGTCGTTGACGTTGACGTAAGGCTCGACGGAAAACGACGAGGAATTGAGGTGGTGTAGATCACCGGCGCTGAATGCTGCCGCTGCTTGAAGCCATGTTCCGC